CAGCTATGCCTACTGAACATTTGTGCTAATTCTCCATCGTCCACATATTTATGGCATAGTGAATTTCCAACTAATGTCTATGAAACAGCTGAATTCAAGCAGTATTACTAAATCTAAAGAAGTTACTGGACTTCAAAATGCCTCCCATATTATACACAAATGGGCATTTGGAAATATTTAATGCCACTCTTGAAAAAATGGTTTCTGACATCTATAAAGCTAAAGGTTCTGACCTTATATTCTTAGGATAAACTCTGAATCAACATATGAGTTAACTTTTTAAGTGTTGAAATTACTCATTTGTTAAGGCTTTCCAGTATTTCTTAGTAGTGACACAGACGGTGAAATTCTGGTCCTACTAAATACTCTGAAGTTTGCCAGTTACTTTAGTGGAACCAGGATTTCATCCTGAGTATCTAGATACAAAAAGTTAGTGGAAGTCTTAAGCAAAGCATTGCAATAACAAATCAATCTAATTAGAACTTTTACTTTTTCCATTGCCAGGTGTGCATTATTGTCTTTTTAAAAATTTTCTTTTTTTAATAGAAAAAATATAGTATTTCAGACATGACCATGACAAATTGCAGTGAAAAAACTTTGTGAAAGTTATATGTTTACATTCATTGAAGTTGATTTGAAATGCTACAAGACTAGATGCCTAGAAGCAGAATCTATAGGAAGACTATAAAGGCTTCTGGTCTCTCAATATTGCAGTCAATCTAGAATAAAAGAAAACAAGTTGGAAATAAAAGTTCCTTATGCTGACTAGTCTTTTTATCCAACCAGATAAAAAGCCACAGTAACCATATAAGAGCTGTGGAACATTTTCATTACTTTGTTTGCACACAGAACTAAAGTTCACAATTGGTAAGAAAAATAGGAAGTTATCAGCTGTGCATGCACCAAAAAATCCTAAGAGAATTCTCAGGGTTTGTTTTTTCTTCCACAGGCATTGCTAGTTCAAGAACCAACACTCAAGGAATACTGGCACTTAAGAGGATATAAAGTTTCCACTGTCATTTAAAACAAGCATTTAGGTTCATGAAGCAGAAAGAAAATTAAGTAATGCTAAAACAAATGCTAATAATTTAGTGTAATGTACAAAAAAATCACTTAAGTATCCCTTAAGAATAAAGGATAAATTGTATTTACATAATTATACACTTTGTCTTTGTCTTCTTTTTCTTCTTTTTACCGTCTTTGCTCATCTTCTCTTTATGTTTTCGGATTTCTCGAACTAATGTGTAGAAGGCATCATCAACACCCTAAAAAGAAATATATGTGGCTGTAAGTCCAATTAACATGATTTTTATACTCATTTAGGTAGTATTTGTTTTCATCTGAATACTGCAGTTTCATATCAATGTCGTAGTTTAGTATGAATGTATTGGTGTTGTGAGGAAGTATGCATTTTTATAAATCAGTGTAAAATTATTTATTTATTCCTGTGCTTTTAGGTGTTTGGGTTCTATAAATGTAACAAACAGCATGTGCAGTGTCACTCAGCAGCCTTCACTGGTTTTACAAACCTTTGCAGTTTAGGAAGTTGCCAGGTTAGTGTGGGGTTTGTTTCATATACACATTTTCATTTGCTACACAAGAAATGGAGAGTCCAGTTCTCCACTGTATTACTTATTAAGCATTTACCCTAAGGATGTAAAATCCCATTTAATTGGCTAACTGGTTAAACCTATCATTTAACTGGTTAATCGATTAAGGGGGGCAAGCAGGGGGACCGCTCCAGCCCAGCTGGAGTGGCCCTCTCCTGCTCGCTACTGGGCTGAAGCACCTCCCCCTCAAGTGTCTCAGTCAGAGTAGCCCCTGTCTGTAAAGCACCCAGGCCCGCTGGAGACAGAGGTTGCACTGGCCAGGACACTGGAGCAGCCTCCTGCCTGCAGCAGGTCAGGACTCCCATCCAGAACAGCACCTGTCTGTAGCACCCTCCAATCCCTCAATCAGATAACCCTTCACATCCCTACTTTACACATGTGCAAAGTGGCTGTAAAATCCTGCTCTAGAGTCATAAGCCTCACACCAGCTGAAGTGGGTACAGAAATCAAGCTCTACAGATAAAAATAACTCCCACCACTGGAGCAGAAAGCAGTCCTTTGTCATCAGTTATAGACATCCTAAATTGCGAGCCTCAAAAAAAGGGCAACACACATGCACATTGCATGTTCCTTCTCTCACTGAAAGCAACAGCTAAAAGCCCTCCCATTGATGCCAACAGGAGTAAATGGGCCACTTAAAAATAGCAACAGTGCCTAATTACACAGTTTTATTCAAACGTTGCAAGTGTATATGTTGGAGTCGATTTAGCTATAGGGAAAGTTTGAAACGTAAGTCATTTCAAAAGCTGTATATAAAAAAGCAAATAGCTCCTTAAAACAATGGGCATTTACATCCATCATAGCAGCGTCAATCCCTTTATACTTCTATCAGAGGATTATAACTAGGATAGAATCCTAGCCACTCAATACTTCACCAATTTACACAAACATTGGCCATTTCTCCCTAATTCTGGGGTTTCATAGCAGAGTGCTCTAATTATGTTTCAGCATACTTAAGTATATTTACTAGTACACTATGAATTATTACAAATACAAAATAGGCTAATGTCAAAATAAAGTGGACACAGTAAATTGTGTGATTCACTACCTTTGGTTTTTAAATGTGTTCACTTTTTAAAAAATGAGAATCAACAGATCTCATTAGTGAAAATTAGTACTATTCTACTGTAAAATTCAAATGTTAATATTTGACAAACTTAGTCAGAATTAAGGCACAGTATGAATCTATAACCACCTGTATCTAGAGAAATAATCTTTATCTAGAGAAGATACAATGGTACTGTACCTGGATATACAATTTTAAAATGTACATACTATGGCATTAAGTCTCCATTAACTAAAGTAGAAAAAACATATTACAGTCTAATGCAAAGGACTGAAGGATAGGGATGTGATAGTGAACATGATTAAACGGTTAACCGACAACCCTGAGCTCATTGGTTAACCTTCACGGTTACCTGTATCAGAGGCAGAAGTGCAGGGTGGTGGGAAAGGCAGGAGCTAGTACATGCAGGGGGCTAGCTTTTAAAAGCCAGCTCCCCCTCTGCATACCGGCTCCCATGGAGACACTCCTCCCTTCCACGTATAATTGCACAACTGCTGACAACTCTGGGAGTTGGTGCTCCTGGGGAGTTGGCTTAAAAGCTGTCTTCCAGCAAGCACCAGTCCAACCTCTCCCACTCCCAGTGCTGCTGCCTCTAACAGAAAGGCAGTAGTGTGGGGGAGGGGTGAAGGCGACTCAGTGGGAGCTGTCTGCCACCCCACACACACAGTGCGTAAACGTGTAACATCTACAAAAAACATATTTGAACATCCCCACTGAAGGACAGTCTCATGGCCAGAGCGCAGGATTGACATCAATACTGCACATGCTGTTTTCCCACAAACTGCACCCATGAACCTGAGCAAGATGGCCACTGAATGCCTCAATTTCCCATCAGTAAAATGTAAGGAATACCATCTTCCTCCCAGAGGAAGTCAATAAAATTTATAGAGTGGTTTAACATCCTCAGAAGAAAGGTGCTAAATGCAAAGCATAACAGAACACTAAAGTGTCCACAAAAAGATTCCTTCTCCTTCCTTTTAAGCTACTGTTAAAATAAATGCATAGAAATTAATCTATAAAAAGCTATATTCAAACAATATTAAGGACTGTATCCCAAAAGAAAGTAAGGAAATTCACTATTAAGGCTGAAATTCATTCTAATATACCTACTGCAGGTATTGCAAAACAGGGTAATTGTACACAGTGTGCATTACAAAACCTGTACACCAGGGGGAGACTAACTATAGCATTTCAGCTTACAATGTTGAGTCCTTTGTTTTGCAGAATAAACAAACAGTTAAGAGAATATTTGCATTATTACTGGTTTTGGTTCTTTTGTAAATTCTCTTTAATTCACCTGTTAGCTGATAATAGGGCACTTTATATAAAAATTCAGTTCAAAGAATAAATTCAAAATTAACTTGAGGCCTTATTTTAATCTTTCATTTAACCTCAGTCACTTACTTTGGCTAACTAAGATAAGGAACATCATCTCAAAATTCGGGTTGTAGCACTTTGATCCCAAGTCCTATTTTACACAAGACTCCTAGGCTTTGTCTACACTGCGAGTTTTTGCAGAAGAAAATATGCTAATGAGGAACTCATTAGCATAAGTCATTATATCATTAGCATATTTTCTGCCATTTCTTTTTGCGCAAAAAGAAGCAGAGTAGCCGCTTCGTTTTGCACAAAAACCTCATTTTGCGCAAGATCCTTATGCCTGTCCTGGAGAGGCACAAGGATCTTGCACAAAATGGGGTTTTTGTGCAAAATGGAAGCAGCTACACTGCTTCTTTTTGTGCAAAAAGAAATGGCAGAAAATATGCTAATGATATCACAACTTACGTTAATGAGTGTCTCATTAGCATATTTTCTGCTGCAAAAACTCGCTGTGTAGACAAAGCCCTAGAGATAGAAAGTCAGTGACATTAAGCAACTTACTCAGAAGACCTCAAATGTGCTAGCAGAGCTTATAATTAAAAACAAATGCATCTGCACACCCTTTAGTGTGCGTGAAATTTCAGGTTTTATATATGCAACATGGATACACTTGACAACATCACAAAAACAAAATCATATGACGGTACTTAGTCTGACTAACAGAATGCTGCATAAAGGGAGCATGCAACCATTTCCACAAATCACAGTCCCTCTGGCTTTCTTGAAATTTCTCAGAATTCTCTCCCTAGAGTGTGTCTTAAAGGGGCATTAGATGTTGCTGCCTTTTCTTCAGTCACCGTCAGTATATAGTTTTACTTTAGTTAGCTTACAGTGTTATAATGAAACTGACTTAAAAAAAGCATTACAAAAATTCATCTCTAAAGATTTAACACTGGGAAGAATTTGTATATAAATCCAACAATCCATGAAATGATGCAGTGTGGCAGAAATCTGTAAAAAGTATTTATGCAAAATACAACAGTGTATGATAACACAAGAAGGGTGATAGTCACAAAGTGTTTTTGATAGAAAAATAATAAGCAGCAGTCACTTAATTCAGTTCAGCAGTTGGAAAATTCATTTTGTGCTCTATTCGGCTTAAATCATATTTTAAAATTAAAAACGGTCAGTTTGAAAGGTTTCCTACTGGCCGTACTCCAGAAGAGAGACAATTTAATTCAGAGTCCTGTGCAGAATCATACATCAGCTTTTATTGTGCATTAATACTAAGAAAATAATATTTAGACATTGTTTAAGACTTAAGGTAGCTTAATAGTTAAGCAACTCTTAATGGTAAAACTCCTTTACTATCAAATGGATTCTACCTCTAAAATTTTGTTTGTTTTTGAAAGAGGGCTTAAATCAACATATATTAAAGAAGGATCTAATTGTAGACTATGCTTCCAACATGGAAGGGGGACACAATTACCATGCAATCATCATTTCTGGCTTGAAAATGTGCACATCTCTGGAGTTGGAGAAAGGTCATAAAACAACTTTGTTTAAAGATGGAAAACAATTACTAAACACCTTAAAAGATTAAGTTCAAACACAGATTCTATGGCTATGTGTACACTGCCACTTTACTGCACTGAAACTGCCTGGCTCAAAGGTTTTTTGGAGCAGGGGGGAAAAAAAATCCCCCCCCCCCCCCCCCCCCATGCAGCAAGTTACAGCACTCTAAAGCGCCACTGTAAACAGGCTCCCAGCACTGTTAACTACGGAGCTCTCTCCCAGTGCTCCTGCCATGGCCACACTTCCAATTTAAAGAGCTGCTGTGGCTGTGCTTTAATTTTTTAAAAAACTGTAGACAAAGCCTATATTTGCATTTTTATTAAGACCATCACACTCATTTCATTGCCTATCTGATAATCTGGGCATAAAGTTGACCATAAATCAAGCAATCAACTGTTATAGAATGCTACTAACATTTTCAAGTAAGTTCTCCTTTGTAGGTTTTACATTAGATAAAACAATTTGTTCATTTGTCACAGCCAGTCAGATACACATAGCTTTGTCCTGCTTTATAGCGTAACCACAAAGGAATTTTATCCTTCCAGACTGCAACAGCAGTTGGCCACACCAAACCTACACAAGATTGCTAATACAAAACAAGAACGATTTTTTAAAATCCTATTTTTTTTAAAAATGTTCCATGACGACCAAGAAGGGATACATAAACCAGGAGAAGTTCCATGAAATAACAAAT